ATGAGGTAGACCCCAGAAAACCAGGCACAGAGTACAGACTCGGAGGACAGAGTCTGCAGACCTCAAAGAGAAATACCTAGAAGTGAGCATATTGCTAAGCATATCACCGGAGGCACATATCAACTGAATAACCTCTGTAGTGAATACTAGTCTGGCAAATCTAAGAGTAGCCTTCAGGAATCTCTACAAAGAGTCATTCAATTTCTTTTATACAACATGTACCGGCCCTTCTTGGAGTATTCAGCACTAGCCCGAGGACAAACCTGATGAAACATGTTAGAAAACTTGACAAAGTGCAGAGGTACGCAAGGAGATTAATTCCTTAAGGGGTAATAGCTGTGAGGATAGGATAAGAGAACTGAATCTGACGACATATATATAGCCATTTGAGAGACGAGAAATAGGCATAAAAGGGCAATATAGTTGGAAATTACAGACTCAGGTTAATCATAGGAATGTCAGAAAGTACTTATTCAGCCTCAGGGTGATCAGGAAGTGGAATGACCAGGTTTAAGACCAGGTATGAAAAGGCCCATGAGACAAGTGGAAGTGAATCGGGAAGTTGAGAGGTAGAGTTATTAGCTGAGAATCAATCCCTACAACTACATATAGGCAAATACATAGAGGTAAGCACGCGCGCGCGCGCGCACACACACACACACACACACACACACACACACACACACACACACACACACACACACACACACACACACACACACACACACAACCTTAAATTCCTTGTATTTACATTAGTAAGTACGTACGAGGACAGGGCGCTCTGAAAGGACAGAAAATTTGAAAAAATTCAGCATCCATGGCTGAGTGTCAGATCCTTCAGAAATAGACGGTGAAGTTGAAAAAGTGGCCACTGAAGTGGAAAATTAGCTTTCGCGTTCACAAGTGGTGAAAACGATGTTCTTTTTTTATATATGATAATCATAGGAAGGATTAATAAATGTTTGCATATAAAGTAGCTGAGAAAACACTTTTCGAAACTGAATGAAACGCAGCTAGATTTCCTGTTTCATGCACCCTCTGAGAGCCTATACTGAGATGTTTCGCCCGCGGAAGAAGATTTATCAGCCTAATACAGGGGCATAATTATTAAGGCTGATGTGTCGCACTTGCCTGGGACTCACTAACGAAAATAAATGAACCCATCTCGGTGGGCCACAGATTAAGTAATGGAATCTCAGAAGTGGAAAAATGCAGCAGTTACAGAAGTGGTCACATGTGGGCAGGATCCCCTAGTGGAGGTAGGTTTGTCTATAAAGTGGACCCATCTGGTATGTACGGCCTACTTCCACTAGCGAGTCCCGTCCACGTGTGACACAGTCTGTAACTACTGTACCTTTCCACAGGTTGCTGTATATATCTCTCTCCACCCTCATGACTGTAAAAGACTGATGAAACGTACACAGGAAGTTCTATAAGAAATGATACCCTACTGTTGTATATGTTTTTTTAGTCGTCAACATGTGGACATTATTTCTACGATCTGAAAAAGGATGACACTTCTCGCTACTTTAGTAGGCTCGCTACTGTATCTCTCTCTCTCTCTCTCTCTCTGCTTCTCTCTCCTCACGAGAGAGAGAGACAGACAGACAGGTCGAATAAGGCATGAGAAAAAAATTGTCTTCACTAGAACATAAGAATGGTGGAACAATGCATCAGGCCTACTGGCCCGTACTAGGCAGGTTAATCTCAAACCCGACCACTCCCACACGCCTATTCAGCAATGGATTGTTTTACAGGTGGTCGTTCCAACCAGTTCATGTTACCTCTTATTGTTAGTTGTGATTCTTTGGTAACATATATTTAAGTTCCCACAGTAATCCCGTTCAGGTAACCTCCCTCTCTCTGTCACTTTCTCTCACACCACTCCTCCTCTCTCTCATGGTACCACCACCACCACCCTTCCTTCACTTCCTCATGGTACCACCACCCCTCCTTCTCTCCCTCATGGTACCTCCACCCATCCTTCACTCCCTCATGGTACCACCACCACTCGTTCTCTCCCTCATGGCACCACCACCCCTCCTTCACTCCCTCATGGTACCACCACCGCTCCTTCACTCCCTCATGGTACACCACCCCATACCACTCCTTCACTCCCTCATGGTACCACCACCCTCACTCCCTCAGTACCACCACCCTCCTTCACTCCACATGCTACCACCACCCTTCCTTCACTCCCTCATTTAACCTCCACCCCTCCTCCGCTCCCACACGGTACCATATCTCGCCCTTCCTCGTGGTACCTGCCACACTTGCTATTCTCCCTCTCGGTAAATCCATCCAATCTTACATCCTGATGTAAACATGGATCACTTCTCTCTTCCACGGTGCCTCTCACTCCACATTCCACCCTCCCTGTGGTACCCTCCCTATACCACCCTCCCAGTACCACCTTCCTTGTGCCACCCTCCCTTACCTCCCTCACAGTATCCTCAGACTCTTCCACCTTCACAGTGCACACACTCCTTTATAGCTTCTCCAATAAACACCCCAAAATCCTTCCTTCCTACTCACCTACATATACTCACACACTCTACCTCCCTACCCTCCCTCACTCAATCACCCCCTACTCCCTACCCTCCATCACTCTTCCACCCTCCCTCCGTACCCTCCAGTGTGCTATCACCCTCTCCCTACCCTCCCTATATCTTCATTACACTATCACCTCCCCACCACACTTATCACCTCCCCACTACACTATCACCTCCCCACCACACTTATCACCTCCCCACTACACTATCACCTCCCCACTACACTATCACCTCCCCACTACACTATCACCTCCCACTACACTATCACCTTCCCCACCCACTTCGCCTCTCCACTACACTATCACCTCTTCACCATCACTATACACCTCTACAACCACACTATCACCTCTCCACCGCACATCACCTCTCCACCACAACCATCACCTCTCCACCACAACATTACCTCTCCACCACAACATCACCTCTCCCTTTACACTACTACTTCTCCACTACCTATCACTTCCCCACTACACTATCACCTCTACAGCACACTATCATCTCACCACTGCACTATCACCTCCCCACTACACTCACCTCTCCACTACACAATCACGTCTCAACTACACTATCCCCTCCCACTACCCTGTCACCTCTCCACTGTACTATCACCTCTCCACTACACTATCACATCCCCACTACACTATCACTCCCCACTACACTATCACCTCTCCACTGACTATCACCTCTCCACTACACTATCGCCTCTCCACTAAAGTATCACTGCCCCCCTACACTGTCACCTCCCCACTACACTATCACCTCCCTACTACACTATCACCTTTCCACTACACTATCATCTCCCCTACACTATCACCTTTCCCCTACACTATCATCTCCCCACTACACTATCAACTCTCCACTACACTATCGCCTCTGGTATAAACCTTGGTAATAAATACCGACAAGTTGGTTTAGAAAGACACGTAAGCAAACACTATAACATATTTATTAGAAAACGTTTCGGTCCTGGGACTTTGATCACTTCTATGTTATAGAGTTTGCTTACGTGTCTTTCTAAACCAACTATCGCCTCTCCACTAAAGTATCACCGCCCCCCTCTGCACTGTCACCTCCCCACTACACTATCACCTGCCCACTACACTATCACCTGCCCACTACACTATCACCATCTCCCACTTCACTATCACTTCCAATTACACTGTCAACCTCCCCACTTACACTATCACCTGCCCACTACACTATCACCTGCCCACTACACTATCACCTGCCCACTACACTATCACCTCCCCACTTCACTATCACTTCCCCATTACACTGTCACCTCCCCACTACACTATCACCTGCCCACTACACTATCACCTCCTCACTTCACTATCACTTCCCCACTACACTATCACCTGCCCACTACACTATCACCTCCTCACTTCACTATCACTTCCCAACTTCACTATCACCTCCCCACTAACAAGGTACTGATTCACTCACCTGACTATTTTTGGCCACCATCTACTTCACAGGCACTTTGTGGGCACTAACCTGGCATCTAACCTGGTATTTATAACTGCCCTGGCAATAATCTTGACACTGACCATTGCCCTGGCACTAACCTGTACCTGGCACTAACCACTGCCATGGTACTAGCCTCATCCGTGCACTAACCTCACCCATGAGTTAATCTCACCCATGCACTAGCCCCACCCATACACTAATCTCACCCATGCACCAACCTTACCCATGAATTAACCTCTCCCATGCACTAACCTTACCCATGCACTGACCTTACCCATGCACTGACCTTACCCATGCACTAACCTTACCCATGAACTAACTTTACCAGCCATTAACGTTACCCATGCATTAACCACGGCCCATGCACTAACGCTACCCATGCGCTAATTTCACTCGTGCACTAATCTCACTCGTGCACTACCCTCACCCGTGCACTACCCTCACCCGTGCACTAACCTTACCCATTACTACATTAACCACTACAATATACAGTACCCAGGTCCCTCTAAGTAACTGCTATATTTATCACTATCCGCTACTCTAGCACTGACCACTTACCAGCAACTAATGACTACAATGTTCACTAATTAGCACCATGGCATTATCCAGGACCTTGGCATTATCTAGTTCACTGGCACTAAGTTCTTGAACTTGCACTAAGTACTACAATGGCACTAATCATTACTCTGGCACTATGAAACATTGTGGCACTGACTGTCTTCCCCTGAGTACCATCTGTCACAATCTTCCTCTCTGCAACACCTGGCACTATCTTCCCCTGAGCACCACCTGGCACTATCTTCCCCTGAGTACCATCTGTCACAATCTTCCCCTGAGTACCATCTGTCTCAATCATCCCTTGAGTACCACCTGGCACTATAATCTCCTGAGTACCACCTGTCACTATTTTCCTCTAAGTACTACCTGTCACTATCTTCCCCTGAGTGCCACTGTCACTGACCATCTTCCCCTGGACAGGTTATAGACTACGAGGGACGAGGAGGAGTGACGGTACACACCCAGACGGGCCGCGACACTGTCAGTCACTTGCTGGTCAAAGAGGCAGGACCTGGAGACTCCGGCAAGTACACCTGTAGTCCATCCAACGGCGAAGATGCCTCCGTTAACCTTCACGTTCTCAATGGTAAGTATTCTTTAACGGCGAGTCTTCTATCAAAGGTAAGTCAACGTCTCATTTGTAACAGCAGGTACCTAAAACGGTGAGACGCGTGAGTCCCTTCAATGTGATCTCTTCCCAATGATGAATTACAATGGATCACGAAGATGAGTTTCCCCACAAGTCACAATGATAGACCGGTGAGTCCACAATAGCACACAATGGTGGTCACATTCTACAATACAAGAGAAACAACTCGAGATAAATTCCCTCGTTTTAACACTAATTTTTGTGTTTTTATAGAAACCAAACGTCTCTTTTCCCCTCACACTGCCAGTGCTGTGTATATTCCTGGTACCAGGATGATAATTAGACACATGTGCAATTCTTGGGTATCTACGAGAACGTTTCGCACACAGTGGCTTCATCAGCCCATACAAAGGGAATCTTGAAGAACAGGAGGAGAATGAGGTAATCAGTCCCTCAACCTTGAGTCGATGTGGTCAGTCCATCAATCTTGAATAGAATACGCTTTAGTTGTTTAAGGCTTATAAACTTGGCAGGAGAGGTGAAGCAGTCAAGGTCGTGTAACATTTGTTCAATGTTGAAGTAGGCGTGCCCAAGAATTAGGCAAGCGAAGAATTCCAAGTATTAAGATCCCAAGAATTTGCAGTGTCTGACAGGTTTGTAGATGAATGGTTCATAGAACCGACATGTTGATAAATTAGACACATGTGCAATTCTTGGGTATCTTTTGAGGAAACGTTTCGCCACACGTTTCCTCAATAAAGATACCCAAGAATTGCACATGTGTCTAATTTATCAACATGTCGGTCATGAACCATTCATTACAAACCTGGTACCAGGAGCTGAGTATGCGATGCTGACACTATGAAGGGAGAACTGAAGTTACATTATCCACCTGGAGGTGGACCTTAAGTTTACTTATGTATATTTTATATAGTTTATTATTTTTACTGGGAAATAATCTCTCTCTCTCTCTCTCATCTCTCTCTCTCTCTCCCCTCTCTCTCTCTCTCTCTCTCTCCTCTTTTCCTCCCTCCTCCCTCCTACCTACTCTACCTGAGCCTCACTATCCCTCATAAACCTACTTAATAGTGATTTATTATATATATATATATAAGTATATCACAATATATTATATATATATATATATATTATATATATTATATATTATTTTATATATAATATATTTAAAAATTACAGAAAACTCAAATAACTGTTCCTATGTCCACTATTATTCCTCGCATCAACTAGGACAAACTGTCTGTTTTCTCATCAATGTTTTTGAGGCTTTACGAATTTGTAGTCCTGATTCAAAGAGGAAATATCCAAAATTATAAATAGGTATGTTTAAAATACCAAGAAATGTAATTGATAAATCTTTAAAATCTGCTAGAAATACTTTTACAAACCAAAAAGGGACCAACCTCCTTTTCAACTAAAATATTTGTTCTCCCTAACCTCTCAAAACTTGGTTGATAGCCCTTCTTTAAGTTTTAATATTAGTTGCATTCAAAATCTTGATTACAGTAAAAAAAACTTTTGATAAAGAAATTCCCCAAATGCTATGGATGTGTCTATAAGATTCTTAAAATTTGCGATAAAGTTCATTACGGTCAAATGGTTAAAAATCTGAACTAAATAAAACAACTACATTAATGCATTAGAACTGGTCAAGATCCAATGCTCTATTTATTCTTAAGAGATTAACCATCCAATTGATTTTCAAAATTGAGAAGAGTCAAGAAGTCCATGGTCGACGGGAAAAATAACTTGAATCTTGTTTCATAAAAAACAGTTTTGACAATAATTATGAATATTTCCTTTGGTTATATAAATTGATCCATTTATAATTAATAATTGGAAATTACTAATTATAATACACTGGATCCAATCAATAATTTTTATTTTCTTGGTTAATAGTTTCGGGTAGATTGTGCAAAGGACCTATCCAAGTTGGTCGGCCGCGTTCAGTGTTTAACCGTTGTGGGATTTGATAGTGAGGTGCTGGCCTATATAGCTTCCTTGGATGCTTACTTTCATAGTTCCTTGATAATGTGAGTAAATCACGAAAGCGCTTGGAATTTTCTATTTCTTTTCAGAGTGGTTGTTTTGCATAATATATATTATATTTAATAATAATAAATATATATATAATATATATAATATATATATAATTTATAATATAAATATATATATGTGAGCACACGAAGTAATTAGGGAACCTTAAAGAGAGCTGCTTTTAAATTTACTTAAAGCACTCAACTAACAATTCCTAAGTCCCCGCGTGAGCTCCACCAGGAGTGTGGTTCTAAGAATGTTCCTAAGAGGGAATCTTGTTTTCAGAGAAGAGCTACTATGCTAGAAGCGTCAAAAACTAGCTAGTGAGCGAAACCTCTAACTTCCGCTTGGCCATAGCGTTTAATTTGCTTTGAGGTTAGTGTAATATTAAGCTAACTCCGCTTCCTTCTTTCTTCCTCCTCTCTCTGTACAATTCCTACCTTCCTCTAGTATATATACTGGCTCCCTTACCTGTAGGTGTTAGTGTGACTAGTTAATAGTCCGATACCGACCTAAACGTGGTCATAATTTTCTCTCTTTTAAGTGTGGGTTACATGTGAAAAACTCTCTGCAATTTCCGAGGTTAATATTCTCGCAGGTTGAGATTATTTATATAAATATTATCCAACAACCTCATAACCGATCACATAACCGAAATATTTTAGAAATAATAATGGTATGGTTTCTGATAACAATAGTTAAGAAAATATAATGTAAAATCATTTCTTTTTTTTAAATACAACAACAGAAAAGTGTTTATTTATCGTAATGGTACCAATAAGTATTTGTTATAATGTTGAACTGAGATCCATCTGGCCGCTGAGTGCGTGACTGAGCCCATGACATCTCAGAGGCAGAGCCCAGCCGATCGAACGTCTGCCTATGTCTAGGTCTGGATGTCCCGTAGCTCGGTTGGTAGTGCTATCGGATCACACACTGAGGTCCCTGGTTCGATTCCCAGGAAATAGGTACCTGGGATTTAGTCGACGAGTGTGGAGAGGTGATAGTGTACAGAGGATGGGTGTCGTAAGTTGAGGTAGGTGGTAGAGTGAGGGAGAGAGGTAGAATGATGGTGGGAGGGAGGTAGATTGAGGGAGAGAGGGAGGTAGAGTAATGGAGGAAGGAAGGTAGAGTGATGGAGGGAGGGAGGTAGAGTAATGGAGGGAGGAAGGTAGAGTGATGGAGGGAGGGAAGCAGAGTGATGTGGGAGAAACGTAGAGTGATGGAGGGAGGAGGTATGTAGAGTGATGGAGGGAGGAGGTAGAGTTAGGGAGAAAGGTAGAGTGATGGAGTGATGGGTAAATGTTTTGGAAGGGAGGAAGGTAGAGTGATGGAGGGAGGAAGGTAGAGTGATGGAGGGAGAAGGTAGAGTGATGGAGGGAGGAAGGTAGAGTGATGGAGGAGGAAGGTAGAGTGATGGAAGGAGGAAGGTAGAGTGATTGGAGGAAGGTAGAGTGATGGAGGGAGGAAGGTAGAGCGATGGAAGGAGGAAGGTAGAGTGATGGAGGGAGGAAGTAGAGTGATGGAGGGAGGGAGTAGGTCGAGTGATGGAGGGAGGGAAGTAGAGTGATGGAGGGAGGGAGTAGAGTTAGGATAAAGGTAGAGTGATGAGGGAGGGAGGTAGATGATGAAGGAGGAGAGGTTAGTTGATGGAGGGAGGAAGGTAGAGTGATGGAGGGAGGAAGGCAGAGTGATGGAGGAAGGTAGGTGATGGAGGAGGAAGGTAAGATGATGGAGGGAGGAAGGTAGAGTGATGGAGGGAGGAGGTAGGTAAAGTGATGGAGGGAGGAAGGTAGAGTGATGGAGGGAGGAAGGTAGATTGATGGAGGGAGGAAGAGTAGAGTGATGGAGGGAGGAAGGTAGAGTGATGGAGGGAGGGAGTAGAGTGATGGGAGGAAGGTAGAGTGATGGAGGGAGGAAGGTAGATGATGGAGGGAGGAAGGTAGAGTGATGGGAGGGAGGAAGCGTAGAGTGATGGAGGGAGGAACGTAGAGTGATGGAGGGAGGACGTAGAGTGATGGAGGGAGGAAGGTAGAGTGATGGAGGGAGTGGAGGTGTAGAGTGATGGAGGAGGAAGGGTAGAGTGATGGAGGGAGGAAGGTAGATGTGAGGGAGGATAGGTAGAGTGATGGAGGGAGGAAGGTAGAGTGATGGAGGGAGGAGGTAGATTGATGGAGGGAGGAAGGTAGATGATGGAGGGAGGAAGGTAGAGTGATTAGGGAGGAAGGTAGAGTGATGGAGGGAGGAAGGTAGAGTGATGGAGGGAGGAGGTAGAGTGATGGAGGGAGGAAGGTAGAGTGATGGAGGGAGGAAGGTAGAGTGATGGAGGAGGAAGGTAGAGTGATGGAGGAGGAAGGTAGAGTGATGGAGGAAGGTAGAGTGATGAAGGGAGGAAGGTAGAGTGATGGAGGGAGGAAGGTAGAGTGATGGAGGGAGGAAGGTAGAGTGATGAGGAGGAAGGTAGTAAGTGATGGAGGGAGGAGTAGATGTGGGGGAGAAGGTAGAGTGATGGAGGGAGGGAGGGAGGGAGAGTAGAGTGATGAAGGGAGGAAGGTAGATTGATGGAGGGAGGAAGGTAGATTGATGGAGGGAGGAAGGTAGATTGATGGAGGGAGGAAGGTAGATGATGGAGGGAGGAAGGTAGAGTGATGGAGGGAGGAAGGTAGAGTGATGGAGGGAGGAAGGTAGAGTGATGGAGGGAGGAAGGTAGAGTGATGGAGGGAGGAAGGTAGAGTGATGGAGGGAGGAAGGTAGAGTGATGGAGGGAGGGAAGTAGAGTGATGTAGGGAAAAACGTTGAGTGATGGAGGGAGGGAGGTAGGTAGAGTGATGGAGGGAGGGAGAGAGGGAGATAGAGTGATGGAGGGAAGAAGGTAGAGTGATGGAGGGAGGAGGTAGGTAGAGTGATGGAGGGAGGGAGTAGAGTGATGGAGGGAAGAAGGT